CCCCCCGCTTTGTGGCAGTGCTCATATGCCATTGCCTCTCATTCCCAAGCTAGAGCTCCTCCAGCCCTGCTGTTGCCCCTCACTCCCAACCTGCAGCCTCCCATCCTCCCCAGTCCTGCTGGTGCCCCTCACTCCTAACCCGCTGCCCCCTACCTCCAGGCCTCAGCCCCACATTGTGTGGGGAAAGGGGTGGGTGAATGGGGTGGAGGTAGGGTGGCCATCATAGGGGACATTCCGCTTTTCTGCTACTCTGTCCTCTGTTGATACAAAACCAAATGCCTTTATGTCCTGTATTTTTTCTCTTGAAGAGAAAAATACAGGACATAAAGGCGTCCGGTTTTGTATCGATAGAGGACAGACGACAACCAACTGTCCTCTATGATGGCCACCCTAGGGGGGGGGGGTGCCCAACCAAAGGCAATACCATAGGTGGCATATCAGGGGGTCATGGGAGGGCATGTGCCCCCCCCTCCCCAGCAGGCATGGGGCTGCACAGGGAAGAAGCCAACCTCTGTGGCCCAGAGGGCAGGACTCAATGCAGGAGAGCGGAGCGGGGTGGCGAGCCTCATTGCCTCTGCTGTCGCTGCTGGGACCCGTGCCACCATGGCCTGGCCACCACCACCACTCCCCTCGGTCTGTCCATGCTGCCCACCATTTCACTTCCCCTCTGGGGTAGAGCTACAGTCCAACACACAAGTGGCTGGTGGTGGTAGGAGGTGAGGGCATTGTGGCCCCATCCTGGCCCCTTACTTCTCACACTGCTGGTGGCGTAGCTGGCACAGGTGTTGTGGTGGCAGCAGCAATGAGTCTTGGTGCCCTGCTCTGCCTGCCTACTGGGTCACAGGCTGCTGCTGCCTAGTGCCAGTTTGGTGAGGTTTTAGCCCTGTGTCCTGCTGTGGGTGGAGAAATCTGGGGGGGGGGGATGTGTCCCCTTATGTCCCCCATGCCCCCCTGAAGTTACCTATGTCCCCCCACCCCCTCCCCCTGCATAGGCTTGCCTGCAGGGAGCTGTGGGAGCTGCTCTGTACTATGCTGCCTGGCTGCCACATGCATGTGGCACCCGTGCCTATGATTGCCATCTTCCTGCTCCCCACAGTTCCAGGCAGCCCCTTGCAGGCTGAAACTCTGCCAGCCTGCAAGGGGAAATCCATGGTTACCTGCATTTTTCTCCTTTTAAAGGAGAAAAATCTAGGTTTTTCTGTGGCAAATGGAAAACCCAGATCCCTACTCATTAATCAGTTTTGTGTTTGTATAGTGCTTACTACAACTTGGATGATGACATCTGCACTGTTTCAGTTTTAGTTCCATCCAGCTTGCAGTGGTCCACAGCTTTAAAGCCATTGTCTCCCAAGTCAAATTCATTCAACTGTTATCTCCAAAAGTAGGTGGTGTGTATGTTGCATATACCATCCATAAAGGTGTTGGTGGACAAAAATGATTTACACAGTCTAATCCTGTTATAACACAGTATAAAATTTTTGCTTTTTTAAAACCAGTTGAAAGGATGGTATAGCTCAACTAGTGTTTTATTTCTTTCACTGGAAGTATTTTTTTTTTTTAACTGATGCATTTTA